TTGTTGCTGAAAATATATTTACTTATGGTTCGTATACGAGGGTTTAGGGTTTAGGGTTTTAGGGTTTAGGGTTTAGGGTTTAGGGTGACTGCTTGCCTTGTAGCCGAAAATATATTTACATATTTTTAGGGTTTAGGGTTTAGGGCTTAGGGTTTGCAATAGGTGTACGGCAACGACTTCTGCTGCCGCTGCTGCTGCTGCTGCTGTTGCTGCTGCTGCTGCTGCTGCTGCTGCAGGCTGTTTGCTGCAGTTCCCGCGGAGTTTGGAGGACCTGAGTAAGAACTGGCCCGTCCTCTGCTGCTTCCTGCTTGTGAGCGAGTCTAGGGTTTAGGGTTTAGGGTTTAGAGGGTTTAGGGTTAGGCGGTTGGGGGTTGGGGTTTAGCTGCCACATTTAGGGTTTAGGCTTTAGGGTTTAAGGTGCAGCAGCAGCAACAGCAGCAGCAGCAGCAGCAGCACCACAGCAGCAGCACGAGCTGCAGCAGAAGCTGTAGCAACAGCAACAGCAGCAGCAGCAGCAAAAAAAAGCAGCAGCAACACCACCACCACAACCAGCAGCAGCAGCAGCAGCAGCAGCAGCAGCACCAAACAAAAACCAAAAACAACAACAGCACCAAACCAGCAGCAGCACATATAAATAAACAAACAAACAAATAAATAAATAAATAAAATAAATAAATAAATAAATAAATAAATATATATGTTATGTTGCAGATGCATTTATGTATAGTTGGAGCATATATAATAGAGAGATTTGTTGCTGCTGCTTCTCTTCGGGTGTATGATTACTTTGTTGCTGCTCTCGTGCTGCTGAATATATCTGTTTGCTTCTTTATGCCTTTTCTTACTGTACTCAACTATCAACCTGAACCAGGTCAGTTGCTGCTGCTGCTGCTGCTGCTGCTGCTGCTGCTGGTGCTGCTGCTGATGGTGGTGGTGGTGCTGGTGATGGTGGTGGTGGTGGTGCTGCTGCTGATGGTGGTGGTGCTGCTGATGGTGCTGGTGATGGTGGTGGTGCTGCTGCTGGTGCTGCTGATGATGATGATGCTGGTGCTGCTGGTGGTGGTGGTGCTGCTGCTGGTGCTGCTGCTGATGCTGCTGGTGATGCTGCTGATGCTGCGGGTGCTGCTGCTGGTGCTGCTGCTGATGCTGCTGGTGCTGCTGCTGCTGATGCTGCTGCTGATGATGATGCTGCTGCTGCTGGTGCTGGTGATCCTGCTCAAGCTGGTTGTGGTGGCTGTTGCTGCTGTTGCTGCTGCTGCTGCTGCTGTTTCCGCTTATTGCTGCTGTTATACACCCAGCCGTCCGCACTAGCTACACCGCAGACAGCAACAGCAACATCAGCAGCACCATCAGCAGCAGCAGCAACAGCAGCAGCAGCAGCAGCAGCAGTTGTTGCTGCTGTGTTTTTTTGTGCTGCAGTTGCGGGTTTGCTGCTGCTGGCTTTTTCTATTGTCTGGTGCTTCAAACTTTTGTCGCTACACCATACCTGCCTAGACACCCGAAGAGCAATGCTGTAAGCAGCAGCAGCAGCAGCAGCAGCAG